CTCATGGCAGCTACTGTAAGGACAAAAAGGTAATAATAATTGATATTTATATAGTACTTTAAAGTTTGCCAAGCAGTTTACATAAATTATCCTATTTGAGCCTCACAGTTATCATGTGAAATAGGTATAAGGAAATGATCATCCCTGTTTTGCAGGTAGTAAATTACTGAGGCTGGATTTGAATTCAGGTCTTCCTGACTCCAGGTCCAGAGCTCTATCCATTGGGCCACCTAGCTACCTCCATCCTAGTAACCTAGAAACTCTTCAAATACAAGCCCAAAGATGTCCTGTATGTCTGTCACCTCAGGATCAGCCTATTTATGCTTGAAGAGCTTTATCAATCAAAGTGTTGACTGCTTGGCAATGACTTTTCTTTAAGTAGCTGCAGAAAGTCAGGAAGACAATTTACTAAGGCATATCATATCAGTGATCTGTACTAGGGGAGGGAATGCCCAAATAGATTAAATCATGAATTCTTGAAATAATTGTTAATACTTAACATTTCTGAAGTAAAGGTTATTTCTTTCAGAAAACAAATATGCGATATATCCCTAAAACTAATTGCATTCAAAGGACACTTTTGCCTTTTAATAAGCTGGGGGCAGCTAGATGGTGCAGTATTGAGCACCGACCCTGAAGTCAGGAGGACCTGAGATCAAATCTGGCCTTATAACAAACACTTGACACTTACTAGTTGTGTGACCCTGGGCAAGTCACTTAACCCCAATTGCCTAAAAAAAAAAAAGCTGGCAACTCTAAGGAGTAGATATTACCCTTCAGGTACCCTCTAACTAATTCAAAGACCTGAATTCCACTCCATTAAAAAGTAATCAGAGTTTAACTTTAAGTTATCTTTTCATCTACATTCTTGTAGTCGTGTTCACTGTTCTTTTGATTTGTTTCTTTTATTGTATCTGTGCGTGTAAATCTCAATTTTTCTGAATTTCTCATTTTATAATCTATTACCACAATAATATTCCTATATTACCATTTTTCCAATCATTTCTCAATCAATGGAATCTACTTTGTTTCCAGTTGTTTGCTACCACAAAGAATAATGCTAATATTTATATAAGAACTTTGTTTCTGATCTTAACCTCCTTGAGGTACATGTTGAATAGTGACATCACTAGATCAAAAGATATTAATAGCTTAGTCACTTTTCTAGTGTAATTCTGAAAGGATAACCAGAATGTTTAGACCAACGAATATCTCTGCCAATAGTGTATTACTGTGCCTGTCTTTCCATAGCCCCTCCAATACCAACTATTTCTAGTTTACTTTATTTTTCCCATGTTGGCCAGTGTGCAAGGATTAGGGAGATTAAAAACACACTTATTTTTATTTTTATTTCTTTTTGTATTAGTGGTTTGTTTCCACATGTTTACAAACTTTCATTAATAGTTTGCAATTCTTCTTTGGGAAACCTCTTGTTCATATCCTTTGTCCTCTTATATGTTGGGGGTATCTTGTCTCTTCAGGGTTACTGTTAGTATTTTAGTCCAGGCCCATGATTTCATTTAATCTCTCTACTAGTATAACTCTTCCACTGTCCATCAACTGGAGTCTTAAAAAGTTTCCCAGAGCTTTGGAAGATTAAGTAACTTGCCCCCGGTCACACATTTAGTCTGTGTTAGAACTTGAACCTGCTACCTCTTACTGTTTCTTAAACTGGTTCTCTCTATTACTCCAATGGACTACCTCTCACACAATTTATTCACAATTTATAGAAGGCATTTTGTGAATCTGTAGGATTGGGCAGCTAGGTGGCAGAGTGGATAGAGTGCTGGTCTTGGAGTCAGTAAGACCTGAGTTCAAATCTGACCTCAGATACTTACTAATTGTGTGACCCTGGGCACATCACTTAATCCTGTTTGCCTTAGTTCTTCATCTGTAAAATAAACTGGAGAAGGAAATGGCAAACCACTCCAGTGTCTCTGCCAAGAAAATCCCAAATAGGATCATGAAGAGCTTGACACGAATTAAATGACTGAACAACAAAGGATTGTATCTAACTAGAAATCTTCTGCATGATCCACAAGCTTCTTAATCTGCTGTCTGATATTCAGTCTACCATAGTAGAGTGACTGATAGCAACAGGTAACTGCAAATAATTTTCTAACAATGTATTTTTATTTTCTGCTTCTTCTTCCTGTTGGCAAATGGCAGCTTTACCATTCCAACTTCAGAATGATATGCTTCATTCTATTGAGAAATGGTTTCTATGACTCCTTAGAAATAAAGGTGGCTTTAATTAATATGGATAAAGCACTTTGCAATGCTATTAAGCACTAACCATTGTTAATATGGTGGAAACATTCCAGATGATTACACATCCAAAAAATTGTTTCTGCATGCATTTCCAAAAATGCATTACGTATTATAGAATTTGCTAGTCTTGTCCCCACAGGACGTAAGCAATTGACTTATAAGAGTACCCTTAGAGAATAGTCAAAGAGAGAAATAAATTTCCAAAGAGACCTGCTAGATAGACTCATTTTCACTCTGAATCACTGTAATGTCCACATTTTCCTTGCCCTCACACCATTCTGAATTATATTTACATGTTTTCATATTGATAACCTAACTAGGCAAATTCCTTTCTGAGAAGGAATATTAGAGTTGGGCTCCTATGACTTAGGCTAAAGCAAAATGACCTTGATGAATCATTCCCAGTTCTCATTATCTGAAGGGAGGCACCTTTCCCCACATCTTCCTATTAACTCCCCACTCCTCCCCTCCAGTCTCTTTCTCTCTCTTTTATTTCTCTCTCTTTCTCTCCCTCCTTCCTCTTCTCTCTCCTTCTCTACCTCCCTCAATCCTTTTTCTCCCTCTGTCTCCTTCTTTTCCCCTTCATCTCTCCCTTACTTCTTCTCTCTCCTAATAACCTGGGCTAAGTATGTATAGTCTGGCCTTATTCCTCCCCAGGCTGCACTCTAGACTTCCTCTGTGCTGCCTCACTTTTAATTGTGAATCCTCACTCCAGCTGGGGAATTGACAAAGTAGAAGTTCCCTCCCCCCTCCTCCCCACCGTGGCCTCTCCCTCTTAACATCTGCATTTAAGGAGAGCATCTGAGTCAATCACATCTCATTCCTCTCCACGCTACACTCTAGACTTCATCTACCTCGTTTGGTACCTTTGTCTCCTCTTATCGCTTTTCAGCTTTCTTTTCATGTTTTGTCTTCCCCCATTAGAATGTAAGCTCCCTGAAGTCAGGGACTTTCTCTTTGTATTTACATTTCAGAGTACTTGGCATGGAGTTAAGTGCTTAATGAATGTTTTTTAATTGACTGTCTTGAGAATAATACCTAGAGCAATTGACTTGATAAGTTGGGGAAGATAGTATGAAGAGAGTTATTAACAGTATATTTGCAACTTTACTGGTACAAAGATCCATTATAACTTATCAGCTCCAGACATTTGAATAACTCAGGATGACCTACTTATCCACACTAGATTATGAGGATTATCTTATTATTATTATTTGGATACTACCAAAACGAAGGGGTAATAAACTTATTTGCATCAGAAGGTGGCAAAAATAACTCCCATTATATGAACTTTTAGCTCTTTCTCTTCCTTAGGAAAATAATGACATGCAATTGCCAGAGGGATATTCTGGTGGAATCACAGTATCATAATATTACATATTGTTGTTGTTGTTCAGCTGTTTCAGTCATGTCCTACTCTTTGTGACCCCATTTGGGGTTTTCTTGGCAAAGATACTGGAGTAGTGTGCCATTTCTTTCTCAGCTCATTTTACAGATGAGGCAACTGAGGTAAACAGGGTTAAGTGACTTGTCACACAGCTAGTGCCTGAGGCTAGATTTGAACTCAGGTCTTCCTGACTCCAGGCCTAGCACTCTTTCTACTTCACTACCTAGCTGCCCAAATATCATATATTTTATATAAAATTATTTTCATTTATTGATACATTCACTTATTCAATAAAACACTTATTAAGCACCAACTACAGGCAAAACTCTTTTGTGGATACTGGAGGAGACAAGAAATGTAGATAAGCTACAATCCATTTCCTTGAATAGCTTGTAATTTTTCAGTAGCAGGTAAGCACTGTTTCTTATAGGGCAGTAATATGCCATTACATTCATATAATACAATTTGTCTAGCCATTCCCCAATCGATGGACATCTAATCTAGTACAACACCAGGTGCCTCTCGTACAATTTATAGAAGTCATTTTGAGGGTTTGCGTGATTATACATGAGCTAGAAATCTCCCTGAGAGTTTACATGCTTTCTAGTCCTTACTAAATTGCTCTCATCTCTCTTGAGCAAAATTGTCTATTTATTTATTTATTGTGGATATGACCCTCAAGCATCCTATTGTCTATTGCTGGAAAGACACTGAGTTGAAGAGAGAATTAGTCTTTAACATATTTGGGGGAGCAAGTGTGCGATGGTTTTAAAATTAAGAGCACTTCTTGAATTTCTTGTAGAGAAAAGAAGACAGACCACATGCTCTAGTATCTGTTAAATTTCCCTAGAAGTCTCTGAGTTCCAGCATCTTTAAAAGGAAAAAAAAATCAAAATAAAAAATGCTTTACAATTTTTTTTGTTGAAAATAAGCTCCTTGAGGGGATGTAATATTAAGAAATATTTGTTACATTGAATAGCACCTGTAATACTGCAATTATATTCTGAAAAGCTCCCATGTGACCAAATAATCAAAACAAAAAAGGGGCACTGCTCTAATTTCCCTAAACATAGAGGCAGTGCCCCAAAGTCACATCTATATAAAGACTTTGGGGCTGACTGTCACATAAAAAAAACAACAACAACAGTGAACCAAGGGGTATTATACACATTCTTCTTTTCCCCATTTAGTTTTATTTTTGTTCTGAACTTAACAAATACCAAATAAAAGGAACATTTCCACGTATGCTGTAGAACAGAAAGAGAGAGTTACACATGAGGCTCCTTCTTGTGAAGGTGATTCACACTAGAGAAGAGAGAGATAAAAAGAGCACAGACTGTACCTGGTGATCTCTGTATCCGGGAGGAGGCCCATGTGGTAGTGGGGGTAGGGAGATGTGAGGAGGAAGCTTTTGTCACACTCAACTGGAGAATAGTGCCGAGGAGAAGAAGGTTTCTCACACAGTTTGTTCACAGTGCTGTAAACGGGTTCAGGAGGCCTAGTGATAGAAGAAGAAAAGAACAAGTCTGTATGAACAGTTTAACAATACTCTGTGGCCACCATTAACATCCAGTCTTCCTTTAAAGACAAAGAAAAATGTTAGTATGGTCAGGTGAAGATATAGTAAGCCTTGGGGTCAGGAGGACTTGGGTCCAAGTGCTTGGAAACATATTAGCTATATACAACCATGAGTAAGTCACTTCTCAGCGACTTGGGTGACTCTGTAACAATATAAATTGAAGATTAATTGTTGCTCTACATTGGTGGGGGGAGTTTCTATACCAGGAATTCCTCCTTCTTATCAAATCACAGACCTAGACAAAATTAAAAAAAAGAAAATAGCAAAAGATTCCTTGATTTTTTCAGTATTTCTTTCAGAAAACAAGTTCCTCTGTTACATACACTTTAGCCGACATTGGGAATCACTGTAACATTCTACTTGCCCACAAATGTATAGTTTTAATTACATGATGAGGGAGGAGAATAGAAACTATAAAATAAAATGATCTCTAGGTAAAGGAAATGGGTCTATTTAGATTAGAGAGGAGAGCTTTGTGGAAAGAGACATGATGGCATTATTCAACTATCTGAGAGATTGCCAGGGAGCAGCAAGGGTGGCTCAATGGCTACAGCCTGAAGTTAGCAAGACTTATTTTCATGAATTCAAATCTTAGACATTTCCTAGCTGTGTGACCCTGGGCAAGTCACTTAACCCTGTTTGCCTTAATTCCTCATCTGTAAAATGAGCTGGAGAAGGAAATGACAAACCACTCTAGTACCTTTGCCAAGAAAACCCCAAATGGGATTACAGAGAGTCGGACACAAATGCAAAATGATTTAACAACAAGAACACGTGGGAGTAGGATTCGATTTGTCTGCTTGCCCCCAGAGGGCCAGAGTATGAGCCACAGGTGGAAGCTACAGAGAGATTGAGATTTGGCTAGATAAAAGGAAACAATTTCCTGACAATGATAACTGTCCAAAGGTGGGATGGATTGTCTTGGAAGATGGTGGGTTGGCTCTCCCTGGAGATTTTCAAGCAGGAACTAAATGATAATTTGTGGAGGATGTGAAAAGTTAGAAAATTATATCTGTAGAGGTGGAAGGGACTTTAGAGGTCATTCAGCCCAATATCATCATTTTACAGATGAGGAAACTGAATCTCCCTCTTTCCTCAAAGGTTAGGTGACTTGCCCAAATTCACACAGGCAGCAAATAGCAAGACAGAAATCAATCCAGATCTTTTGAGTTACATTATGGGAACACTTTTGTCCAGATTGGACTGGATTGCCAGTGTGTGATTATGTGATTCTCTTTATCCTATTTATATTTTACCCACACCAATACAAAAGACAAAGGTGTACAGTAACAAAATTCAATAAACATTTTAAAGTGTGCATTATTGTGCATTGTGTTAGGTGATCAGGATCAAAAGATAAAAAAATTACACAAGACCTGCCCTCAAGAAACTTGGAATCAAATAGGTGGATGTAGTGGGGTGTGTGTGTGTGTGTGTATGTGTGTGTGTGTGTGTATGTGTGTGTGTGTGTGTGTGCGTGCACACACACGACCCTATGATACAAAGTAGAATGTAATGGGAAACAAGAAAAGATCCAAAGAGCTCTAGGAAAATGTTAGGAGGAAAAGATTATATTTAGATCAGGGAAATAGGGCAGACTTCATAGAGGAAGCATTACTTAAGCTGTGCCTTTAAAAAACATTTCAATAGGCAGATGCAAAGATAGAGTGTGTTCAAGACATGCAAGATGGCTACGTAGATATATGGAAATGGGAATGTGCAGGATGAGAGCAGGGATCCAATGAGGCATTTTTCCAAATCACAGAATCTCAGAACTTGGACCATTCTTAGGGATTATGCACCAGAGGTTCTTAACCTGGGGTACATGACTTTTTGAAAAATTGATAACTGTTTTTCAACACACTTGGTTTCCTTTGGTATCCTGTGTGTTTTGTTTAATGCATTTAAAATATTACTGAGAAAGAATTCAGTCTTCATCAGACTGCCAAAGGGGTACATGATACCAAAAAAGGCTAAGAACTTCTGAATTCCAAGTCATTGGAATTCATTTTATGGGTGAGAAGGGTGAGATCCAGTGAAAAGAAGAGATTTAAGCAAAGTCACTCATTGAATGGGAGGTTGAAGTAGGACCAGAACACAGGTCTTCTAATTCCTATTCCAGAGCTCTGTTTCCTACATTGTAACATCTCCTATTCAAACCAGATTGGTTTAAAACCCTTTTAGACAACATCAGCTTAAAAATATAGGAAGAGTATGATTTGAAGGGTATAAGAATGCTCCAGCCAGTCGGTAAGTTAATAAGCTTTTATTAAGCACCCACTATATGTCAGGCATTCTACAAGTGCTGGGGATACAAAGAAAATCTGGGACACAGTCCAGGAAAATCTGAATGAGAAGAGGAAGAAGGGAGAAGTGTCTGAGTATTGGTTATTATTCAAAGAAGGTAGAATCAATTAGGGAACCTGCATGGGGGAACCAGGGGATGAAGAAAACAGATACTGAAATAGAGATGCAGAGATTCCTTTGAACACACGTGTAGTAAGTACCTTAAATGCATAAAGCACTCTGCTAGGCACCGATAACGAGAGAGGTAGGGAAAGGCAGCTGGAAGGAAACTGAAAACTCTAACTCAGTCTAATAGGTAGTTAGTTAATAAATGCTTGTTGATTTAATTTATTATTATATGCTTAGTACAGTGCCTTGCAAATATTAAATGTTTAATAAACTCTTTATCTGACATTTATCTATCTATTATCTATCATTATTATTTTTATGTTTATGGTGTTCAGAAAAAGTCTTTGGACAAGTTGTTGTTGCCACTGTTGTTATTAATATTACACTGTTACTACTATTATTAATCAGACTTATAATTTCATTGGTGTAAGGAATTTCTGGTGCTGAAACTTCCTCTACTAATGCACACTGGCAATTCCTGTAACTTATATGGTATTTTTTAAAATAAGTATTTTTTTCTTCAGTAAACAAAAATCTGTCTCAATCCCAGGCCTTCTGACTCCAAGACAGCTTCTTTCCAAGACATGAAGTTCTGATCATCAGTACAGCTAAAGAAGAGGTACAATGATGGAAGCCTGAGACAGGCTTTAGTTGTCACTTTCCCATTTCGGAAGCTGATTCACTACTGACAGGAACCATATGTACAGGCCAAATTCAAAGACATTAAGATGGGATAGAGAAATTCAGTCTTTATCAAGGAAAGCAGATCTTTTCACTCAAGGCCTGGACACTCTTACCAGATAATCTCAGTGGGCTTCCAGCCTTACACAGGTAACAATTTACAAGTAACAGCTGCCAAACAAACCAGCCAGCCTCGGCTGGAAGAAAATGAACTGCACAGCCATTCTTTACAAACCTCTCCAGTAGCACTGAGAGGTGATTCAGATGGACAGAAGGGGATAAAAGGTGATACCTACCCAATGGAATGAACTTCCTGTCTTTTGGTGAAGGTCTTAAAGACTTTCATTCCTAAAGCATTTCAGGAAGCCAGTTTTCCTTGCATGTAAGTCTTGAGTTAGTTTTCTTCATCCAGCACTGGCAATGACAGTCCCAGAGAACGATGTGACCAAGTTTTCTAACCAGAATATACCTGTGGGGCTCACAGGCAAATGATGTGAAAGGATTTGAATGATGCAGCCCCCATCAGAGGAGAGACGGGCAGACAAAGAGAAAGAGAGACAGAAACAGAGAGGGGAGAGGAGGAAGGAAGTGGGAGGGAGAGAGAGGAAAGATGAAATGTAGAAGGAAGAATGGAAGGAGGAAGAGAGAAGAAGGAGGGAGACCAGGAAAGAAGGAGGGGTAAAGAGTAGAGCTAATTAAAAGCAATTAAAAATTCTACCAGATTTATGATGCATGACATAGAAGCATGGCTCTAAATGAGAGCTCTCATCCCCCTCCATGTCCCCTGTTCAGGGAATTATTGAGGAGTAGAATAAGGGAAATAAGAATTAAGGTATCCATTCTTTCATTCATGTCACAAATATCTATTGTTATTGTTTGTTTGTCCTTCATTTTCAAAGAGGACCAATGACATCACAGTGTGATGTTTTGACTTTCATTCGAACTGGATTTAGATGAGGCATAATTGCACAAAGTCATCAGCTTCACTCTCTCTTCCAAAGTCATCAAAGGGGGCAGCTAGGTGGCGCAGTGGATAGAGCACCGGCCCTGAAGTCAGGAGGACCTGAGTTCAATTCCAGCCTCAGACTAAACACTTGACACTTACTAACTGTGTGACCCTGGGTAAGTCACTTAACCCCAATTGCCTAAAAGCAAAAAAAAAAAAAGCTTCTCATTGGGGCAGCTAGGTGGTGCAGTGGATAGAGTACTGGCCCTGGATTCAGGCCCTGAGTTCAAATCCAGTCTCAGACACATAACACTTATTAGCTGTGTGACCCTGGGCAAGTCACTTAACCCCATTGCCTAGCCAAAAAAAAAAAACAACTCCCCAAAAAACCAAAGTCATCAAAGTCCAGTGGCAGGATAAAAGTCACAACTACTGGTGATGGCCTGGTATGCAGTGGATGACCTTAGCATCTTCAGTCTCTGACTGAGCTCTAATCACTCCACAATCCCTGCTTCAGCCACCTTTATGGCCAGCAGAACAAATTGTTCTCATCTGCCCATTCTACTGGGAGAAGTCTCCATATGCTTGGGGTAGACACCCTTCTAACTCACCAACGGGTTTGAAGTCTGTTAGTTGCCCTTGACCTGGTTTAGCCTTTCTGTTGAGACAGTTTTACCAAGGTGTGGCTGCTGCCCATGCTACAGCTTCTTGAGCCACAGGTGACAGGTAGACATCAAAGGTGGATGAGCAGCCATGAAAAGGGCTTAGCAAGCCCTCACACCTGAGATGCTAGTCTTCCTTTTTACTCTACCATACTGTTTCTCTTACATAAGTTAATTCTGACTTGAAACCAAAAACTCCTCTTGTCCTGCATGGG